TACAACAGTATGGTTCACCTCAGCTATCAAGATGTGATGAAGTAACATCATGATGTAACTACTAATGAAAATTCGTTAAACGATGAACAGTCTCACGCTAATAGCCAAGTTGTAAAAAGTTTCGAAAAAGGCCACTGGTCAAACGTTTTTCTTAAACGCTCCTGACGGCACTGTAAGACATTTGTCCTGAGTGTTTTATTGGCTAGAGTGCGAAAAGATCGCCAGATAGCATTGTCTGTTGCTTCTTCAGGCATTGCTGCTACGTTGCTGGAAGGAGGTAGAACGGCTCACTCTGCGTTGAAACTGCCCTTGAACCTGATGCGAATAGAGACACCTACCTGTAATATTTCAAAATAGAGTAACAAGGCGAATGTTTTGAAAGAATTTAAACTATTAGTTTGGAATGGATGCAAATGACCCATAAGAGCGGATTCGAAGCTCTCAGCAGAACATTAAAAGATAAAAGAGAAAACAATAGCTTAATGGGAGAGGTCACTGTGCTGTTAGCTGAAGATTTTCGGCAAACATTACCCGTCATACCTAGTACATACATGTGCAGATGAAGTAAAAGCAATCTTAAAGACTTCATATTTGTGGCCACATATCCGGAAACTTGCACTCCATAACAATATGAGAGTCCATTTAATTGGTGATACATCCGCTGGGCTTTTTTCTGAGGTGCTACTTAAAAATAGGCGATGGAAATTACCTATCACTGGAAGGTAAAATTACAATCCCTTCAGATTTGGGTACATTAGTTATCTCCATATTAGAGCTAACTTTTAAAATATATCCTGATATAAGTAACATCAAAAACAAGCCCACAGAATGGTTTTGCTAGCGTGCTATCTTAACTCCGAGAAACGATAAAGCAGCCGTAATTAATAATATTCTGTTAAAAGCCTTCGAAGCTTAATATCTTGAATACAGGGGCCGTATTCTGGTCACTTTTCTGTCGTCTGTTCTTTCACCGACGAATGACGTCAAAGCGAGAGACGAAATTCGTCTCTCATACACAGTGGCGATTCTGGTCGTTCATAACGATCTCATCTTCTTGTTGACATCACAATTCTATTCGGTTGATTATACATGTTCGTGTTATCTGCGCGCTCAGTGGCGTACCGTAGTGGGGGCGGCAGGGGCGGCCCGCCTCAGGCGGCACTTTTTAAGGAGCGGCAAAATTTCACAATAAACAATAATAATAATATCTTTTAAACTTTGAAACATCCTAATCTATACTTGCATCGCGCCTACGATAGTGCTATCGTCCGGACAGTCCGAGAATCGGCTCGCCGGGTGAACTAGTAACTTTTTCATCCGAGGAGTTCCTGCGAAACCTGTTGACCTTTTCTTGTTTTTTGCTTGTACGATTCATTCGCGTTCATATACACCACTAATATTCAATAGAACTATTTTAAACAAGTCGCTGCACTACCACCGAATTTTTCATTGCTTGTTCTGTGACAAAACTGAATTTTGGTCTTTTAAATTGAAATACCTAAATAAGGGGGGCCGAAATTTTCCTCCGCCCCGGGCGGCTGACACC